TGGTAACAGGATTCAATTTCTGGCAAAGCATAAGCTCAGTTTGATCATCTCTTTTGTTATTTGTTTGTTTTACAAAAATGTAATAAGGGCAGGACCACAAATTCTTCTATGGAAAAAGTCAATCAGCAAGAAGTAAAGAGGAAACCATTACGGCAATCTCAGCTAATGAGTAGCATATTTGAATTTGAGGTCTTAGATTTTCCTACTTTACATAAGCAAGAAACCATCTTCTATTTGGCTCACCAAGAGATTTGCTAGAGAATGCCACCACCAACACCAAGCAATTAGAAAGAATCTGGCGGATAAGCCGGTCTGTATGTCATTATGGCTAGTCCTCAGCTGCTCTTGGGTCAGCTGACTACTCGAAAACCTTAAGTAGGGTCGAGCTAACGGTGAATTGCATTCTTCATTTCTGGTTGTATCTCATTCTCAGTGTGATGAGTTGAATTCTTCTGAAGTATGCAGTCAAAAATCAAGGTTCCCAGTCCTGGAGGTGCCAGAGCAACTACCAGATGTGCCATAGGAAGTTCCACTTGAACCATCCTGATTTAGACATTCTAAAACCAAATATCTACGGATTGCAACTTGATTGAAAAGGTTGTTGCCTCAAGAATCACAGGAACCTGCTTAATTTTGGACAAATAAAGGTTTCTAGTTAAGTAGTAGAAAATGTAAGATAATGAGCAGAGTGAGGCTATTGTGAATAGATTTGCAGACTGACATTACATTGTTATGGAAAGTTATACAAGACTAAGATGAAGGCTAATGCTAATGAACCTGTGTGTTGAAGCGCGCTACTTTGTGCACGTTCAGAAAGCCAACCATATCCTGGTAACCATTGAGGAGTTGTGCCAAGTCCTTGTCTTCATCTGACAGAAGCATCCAACAAGATCAATGAGTCAATTACATTTGAAATAAAAAACGCATACCATAAGCAGAAGGTTGAGACTGATAATAAACCTGGAATTGCTTTGACAGAAAGCAATGTGTCTGCCATGTGCTGCCATCTTTTACAGAAGGATGGTGAAAGAAGGGAGGGTGGAAAAGTTATTATGGCAACTGAATTTGAAGACCGTAGCATGCTTTTGAGAGATCTAATAAACGAAAGCATATCCCACTCCTGCAATAGTGTATGTTAACAGAAGCAATGGATTACAACTTTAAAATCAGTTTGAACTTTAAAACTATGATTTCTACAGCCCGAAAGGTGCAAAAACATTTTAAAAAATTTTTTCACTTACAAGGGAACTTTTCAAATAAGAAAAGGAAACAGGAATTTATATTCAACAAATCTTAAAGATTTGCTACTAACCATTTTGGAATATGCACATTGAGGAGAACAAAGTGATTGGATAGCAATGCGACTGGCACATGAAATGCCGCCATCATTTCTATGAGATAGCAAAATGAGGGCAAGGAATGACAAATAAATATACCAAAATGGAAAGAAGGGGAAAAAAGACACAAAAGATACGGGCAAGTTAGTTTAGACACTAAAAATATGAATTTGGAACTTCATACAGTATTCTTCAAGGAGCTGTAAGGGAGATGACATAACAGGTAACAATAAAATCAAACATTGAATAATATGGCAGCGTGATCAAATGTTTCAAATCTTATGAATATATGGCCAAGTAAACGATGATACCTTGGAAATTGAGATAAAAATGTCGCACAACGGTCTTGAAGAGCAGAAAGATCAGGAGAATCTTGAATGCTAAAACAATCTACACCCTGCTTATCGAGGAAGTGCCTCTCTAGGGGCTTCCGCAAGTCAAATTCATTAGAGTACTCATGTTTACCATCTGCAACATGCTAACATAAAGAGATATGAGCATAGAACTTTCATGGAGAAAACAGCATGAACATAGGTTAAGAACAGTGAACTTCCAGTGAACACCTGATAATGCATGCAGTTTTTATAGATAAGTGCAAAAGTCTAATGAGTTGAAAGAATAACTCTTTTCTTAACCTAAATTAAGACCCAAAAGCAATCTGCATTAGCCTTTTTGTTAAATCTACAAGTGGAAAGAATAAAGAATAAAAAATAAAGAATAATACCAGGGGATAAACTACCTCTTTGACCATCAAAATTGAGTGGATTTTCACCAAAGTACTTTTTATACTGCCAAGCAATTCTCAGACCTGTCGCCTGTTTTAATTTGCTATTCACATTCTTACTTCTTAGCATTTGCACATATGATATTTCAAACAAGCTGAAAAAAGAAACCAAAAGTCAAAAAGGGGGTAGAGATGAGGGGCACCTGATCCGGATCATGTTCACGGGATTTGTCATCTTTGAAAGTGGCAGGACTGGGCAAAGTACCCGAAAACCCTTTTGGGTCTCTGGCTGGACTAGCATAGAGAAGAGGTTGATTGTGAACAAGTCCCTGAGCCATGAAATTCCTCAACAAAAGCATGTGATGAGGTGCTTCTGCATCTTCCATCACCATAACTAGGCTGCCCAAAGGGAACCCTCCACCTAGTATCTCAGCATATAAAGTAAAAACTACTCAATAAGAGAACAAATCACGATGCCAAAAGAGTATGTTATACAACAATAAGAATGAGAGACTGAACGCCATTACTGTCAAGGTCGGGTATCCCAGAAGATAGAAAGACCGTGCCATTTGGCCCACTCTTAAGTCCAGGGCCTTGAGATAGGGCTGCAGTCGAAAGGTTTCTAGAGAAGCTACTTGTCCGTGTCTTGGCCGCAGCCATGGCAGTAGCAACAGTCAAGAATGAAGACATTACACAATGCAGTGAACAATAAGGCTGATGTAAGTCTTTCCTGGCACAAATTCCAGCAAGTTCGTTCAAGCAATACCTCTGAAAAACCATTAATAAGGATCACTGAGGGTCTTAGAAACAGCAATGCAATCATACAAAGGAAAAAGCAAACGAATGAAGAAAACTATTATAATTGTCACAATGCCATGATTAAACTTAAACATATTATATTTAACTCAAATTTGAACTTTTTCTATTCAAAGTTTTCGTTTTTTTTTTTTTTTTAAAGAAAAAGTCTCATCTGCTAGCATTCAAAAGAACATGTTGTTGGAACTAACTCTTTGCTAAAATTAAAAAAAAAAAAAGAAGAAGTACCATTTTAACCCAAGTTTTGTTAAGCACTTGTCATTATTTTTTTTAATAAAATTTCTTCTCTTTTCATTCAAGCCTTTTATCAAAGATACGGTGTGCAGTTCTTAAGTAAACTTTACCAGTACACGATAAGGCTCTAAATAGTTTGATTTTCTTTTGCTTCCTTTGGGTTTTCCAAGTCACCAAACAGAGTATAAGCAAATTCTTACCGTGGCTCCCTTTGAATTGTTTCAGAGGATTCAAGTTCCCTGGCCCTGCTTACGAGTTCCGCCGTTTTCAAAGCAATCACGCGCTGTTTCTTTCTCGTTTGCTTTTCAGGCTTTCGCCTCCAGCGGACAAAACGCTCCGTTTCGTCATGGTTGCTTGGGCTTAGCCCTTTCCTCATCTTAATGGTGGGCAGGATTTTGGGCCAGTGATCTCTTCTTAATGGACCATTTTTAAAAAGCTAGAGCCCATAGATGTTTCTTTCCCCCGCTTCACTGATAATAAAATTGACTATCGTGTATTTATATTATGTTAAATATTAAAATTTATATATTTATATCATATTTTATATAAAAATTATGTATTATAATTTATGTCAATATAAAATTATGAAATATATATCTTTTGTTAAACTCATATATAATATTATTAATATTTTAAACTATGTTACTTTTATTTTTTTATTATCTTGTCATTGTATTATATTTTAAATTAATAAATTTATAAAACACATTAAATTAAATGACATAATTATTTTCATAAAATCCGTGAAATGCATAGTTAATTAAAAATTAATTTTAGTAGAATTTACAAGAAATTGAATAATAATTAATGGTAAGTAATATAGACGTAAAGATTTCTTAAAAGCAATACTTATCAAGTCTTTATCTCATTCCAAAATTTTACTTATATTCTACAATTTGCATTTGTATGCAGTTATAAAAAAAAAAAAAAAGAGCTCATTTTCTAGATAGAATGATGAAATGCTACTGAAAAAGTTTAATAACGAATTTATAGGAAAGACTAGTTTGATTAGTAAAGAGGTTTTTTTTCCAATTAATATATCTTTTGTTAGAAGCATTCCAAAGTTGAAGAGAAGATTTAGCTTAAACAAAGTATTATGATTCATATTATAAGGTATTATTTTTTTTATTCATTCAATTTTAATGTTTTATTTAAAAAAATGAATTGTGATTTGAAAATGATAACGGATATTTTTATATAAAAAATTAGAATTTAAAATAAAAAATAATTATAATTATAATTTTTAAAATTTAAAATCTAAAATTTAAATTTACTAAATATCAATTCTTAAATATGACTAAAATATGGATTCATGCTAACATTTAAATAAACAAGATTTAAGATTCGAGCCCATGACAATATAGATGTAATTGAGTTAAGTTTATATAGTGAGAAGTTCGAATTTGATTCGAAATTCGTTATTTATATTTCAACTCAAATTTAATCGAATTTTAATTTTTAAATTTAAAATCGACTCAAGATAAAAATAAAATTACTTGAATTCATTTAATTATGTTTATTTAATAAAAATGAACTCTATTTTTATATTCAATTTTAAATTTAATTATTTATTCGAATTTAAATTTAAACTCAAATTGATATATATATATATAAATAAAATATATTAAAATTAAAAAAACTTAATTAAATTTGTGAGATATTCAAATTTCATAATACTCAAACTTGATTCATTTAATAAATCTAATTGATTATATTAAAATTAATTTAATAATAATTAAATTAAATTCGAATTTTATCTAAACCTAATAATTTACTAACATTGATACGTCATTTGCCACCCTACATGACACAGCACGAGACTTTCAATATTGTCCTTTAAGAGTCTGTCCATAGGTATTCCCTTTAAGAATCTGTCTATGGGTATTTCCGTTAACAAGACTCGTCCAATACAATTTGACTGTTTGCTTCTGCGTTTGAAGTTCGTCACTTCCCTTCACAGAGCAAGTCCTATCAAAAACATTGAACCTTCATTTTTCCCTTCTTCCTCTTAATCTTCAAAGCCTTTTTCTTTGTACATAAACTCTGGTTTTTATAAGCCCAAAAGATGGGTTTTTCAAAGGAAGAGAAATCAAGAAGAATTTTGAGAGGTTTTAAAACTGTGTTTTTCTTAATCACCATGATGATTTCTTTTCTTATGTTTTCTGCACCAGTTTTTCTTGTTATTGCTGACACCCTTTTGCCTTCTGCTTTGCTTTCTGCTTCCCTTTCTCCTCCTTTATCATTGAAATCCCTCTCTTCCCATTTCAGTAACTATGATTTCAGATATTCTCTCATAGATATCCCCCTCGTATCCATTATCAGATCAGCTGTTATAATCTGTAAGTACATAAAAAACCCAAACCAAATACTATGATTCATCACTGTTTCTTTCAGTTCATGGATTTTTTGATTGGTTTTTGTTGGTGTTTTTTGGACAGGTGTTTATAGCTTTTATGATGGACCAAGTCTTTCCAGGGGACCTTACCTTCGAATTACAATGATTTGTTCTGTTTCATCTTTGATTTTTGTTTCATTAAAAGCTCCATTTGTGTTCAGTTCGAGTGTTCCTAGACAAGGGTATGTTACAGACATGGAAACTGCTCTTTTCATTTGTTCATTGGCCTTGGCAATTGCACATATAATTGTGGCATATAGAACAAGTTGCAGACAAAGAAGAAAACTCCTTGTCTACAAAATTGACATTGAAGCTGTAATTTCCCTTAGCTATCAGGTCTTTCAATCAGATAAGTATGATGATTTAAGCAAATAAAGATGTTAATGTAATAAACTGAATTGTAATTGATGAATGTTTTTTTCTATTGTGTACAGATTTCGGCTTGCAAGAATGGGTTTCCAAGCTATCAGAAGATACTGGAAGTAAATGATACTACTAACAATGAAGGGATTTCAACTACAAGAAATCAACCTTTTGCAGGTTTCAGGTAATTAACTTACCATCCATTTTGTCTCAACAAAACAAGTGCAATCCTTTTTGTCTTGTTGCAAACTCCACGAACCAACATTAAAAAAACCAGCATGATATTTAGTTTGTTTATTACATTTAATGACATCAGATAACATGCTGGGTTTTCTTCCTCTTGCAGAGTTTTCCAAGTGAAATCAGTCACCTGGAAATCAAAGAAGTTAACAAGCAGCTCGGCAGTAGCAGTATAAAACCTCCATACACAAACAGATGAAATAATTTCCTGCACATATATATAGCTGGTGATTGTTTATCACTAAATAGAGGCTATGATTTTGAGGATAGATCCAACGTTCTTTCATGATTTTGAGTGTACAGTTTATATTACATAAAAATATATGAAATGAGAGAGAAATGAGCCGAAGGCCTTTTCATGACCTTTCTATTGTGTGAAATTAAATACAATACCCCAAATTCAATGGCTTTTATCCTTCTTTTCAGCTATTTGTCAAAGTTACTGGAATTTTCCACCCTTTGTTTTCTGATGCTCATTTGGAAGCAATATTTAACCTTGTTGAAACTTGGAAAGTGAGTGGTTTTCATTGGCACCAATAAGACAAGTGTGAAATATCAGTATCCCATATGGACTGTTTTAAAAAATGATATCGACTAATCATGTATTATCTTTAAAAAAGAGTAATCTTAATTTTAATATTAAAAATTATTTCTTTAATTTTATTTATACACAAAAATACATATCGTGATAAAATGTTTTTAAAAATCAAAATTTAACTAATCTTAACCAATACTTATATAAACATTCGCAACCGAATCTTTATTTTAAAAAGACAATTGTTCGTTCAAATGACCTCCTTGGCCAAGCACTTAGATTTGTTGAAAGTGTCTGGTCCAGCTGACGGAGCTTTTGGCATGCATTGTATCAAAGGCGAAAATAGAAAATTGATTAAAAAAAAGGGTCAGACAATAATTTTAAAAAGAAGAATGATTCAAAATAGTAATTAGGTAAAATTTATCATTATATAGCAAAAAAGGTAAAAAATTTTGGAGTGCCGTGGCCACTGCCGGCCCCCTTTAGTGCTGCCTCGGCGCCGCATATTAGTTTGACAAGGAAGAGGGTCCAAACGAGAAGAATGAACCACCCAAGAGGCTGGATGATGACCAATACAAGTAAAATCAATGAAAGACTTCCAGAAAGAAGAATGATTTTGGTGATGATAATTAACATGGTGATATAATATATACAATATAGATGCTATCCATCTTATTCTTCAACCGGTTCATCAAAAAAAGATTTCCTCCTACTTTGAAATACCCTAACCTGGCATTTTTTGACAACTTATTTCAAATAATGAAGCCCCCACCATTATGCTTATATAGATGCATGCTACTATCAGGAGGAAATATTGTTTAATTAATTACTTAATTAGAAAAAGCTACCAACGTTTGTTGGTTTGAATGGTTAAGAAATTCAATTTCCTTTAAATAATATTTCAATTTCGAATTTTGTAAATAAAAAAAACAAATGTCAGAAAACCTTGCCTTTCTTATAAGATTAAGATTGAAAAATAATAAAAATATAACATCAATTTAACACTATTAGTTTATATAAAAATAGAATAATGCATTTTTCATCAAAACAAATTACATATTTTAAGTAAAACTATATATGAATTTAATTACATAAAAAATATATTTTATATTTTTATGTCGAAACAAATTCTGATACATAATTTCATGTAAAATATGATATAAATATATAAATTTTATTATTTTCACGATATAAATATATGAATCGATAGATCTACTTTAATCTATTAATTTATATTTAGAAAAATAAATCTTTTTTCTTGATATTTTAACAATAAATAACAAGAAATAAGTTGGTAAAACTTAAAAATTTAATGGCATGTAATCCTATAATATATGTTGAAACAATTTTAAATTCTACAAATACCTTGAAGTAATTGATATATATATATATATATATATATATATATAGACACAACACACACTTAAATTGAGCATGCTAGTTTATTTATTTAATATAAAGTTTCTTCATTTAAAATGCAACTTAGAAATGATTTTATCTTGGACTACTAAAACGACGCCGTGTCAACATTCTCAGTAGCTTAACGTCATTGTTTCATTTCACCCTTCTTCACTTTCTCCTGCCAACGGGAAATAAAGCAGAAAAAGCTCCCGACGCCTCCACCCCAACAAAGAAAGAGAGGAGAAGTAATGAGGTTCGGCTTCGACTTAACGGAATCGACCGAGGACGATTCTAGAAGGTCCTTAACCCCTAAAGGAGAAGTTCAGTGGGTCCCTCTTCAAAACCACCCGGTCTTCACCTCCGCCGATGGAAGCCGAGCAGCCGCAACCGCCTCTGTGCCAGCTCGAGCTGTTAAAAATCTTTTAGCTTGGGACGGAGCGTCAAGACTCTATTATTGGGACTCCAATAAGCAATGCCTTCATCGAATCTCCATTCGTTTGGGTGAGCCAGAGCCTACTGCCGTCGTCGCCGCTTCTCCCTCTAAAGTAAATTTCAAATCTTACTTATAAAAGCCAATTAGTTTTTTTTTTTTTTTTGTTTAATTACTTGCTAATTCGACCGTTGAAATGTTGTTTCAAACCTTTGAATTTGTATAATTCAGTAGAAAGGGAATGAATTTGAAGAGTCTTTTACTACATTGAAATTTTAGGGTTTATAAATTTTGAATTTTGAATGATTAGCTGTGTTTGGCTGTTGTAAAAGGAAATGATGAACAAGCAAAACCATAATTGATTAAAAAAATGAATAAATAACAAAAATGTAACATGAATACTAGAATTAGTATATAAAAGTAAAATCATGCATGTTCTTATCCAAAAAGATTACTTTTTTATTCTTTAATTCTTTTAAAATATATTTGATTTTGTATCAAAAAAATTTCAGCCTTTTGCATTCGGAAACAGAAGGGAAGTAATAAAAAGCAATACTATATGGTATGTAAGTAGGTAATCTAAAGTCTGATAAATTTGAGCTGTGCATGAAGAGTGTGAGAACGTTGATGTACTTTTAAAAGCTTAGGATAAGGAATGGCTGCCTTTATGCAATGTGGATGGTTATCAAATTCTGCCTGTATGCTTGAGCAGTTGTGTTAATTATAGTTGAATTATCTATTTTTTGGTGTTTAAATTTAAAAGATGTAATTGCATTAATTTATAGGTGTTGCGAGCGGACATGGAGCTGAATTTTGTTGTTAATAAAATCTCTATCAACAGGAATGGATCAGCTTTACTCCTAGCTGGTTCAGATGACCTATGTGTCATGTACCTTTATGGACGTACTTCTACTAAAGACAACACCATCCTTTGCAGGTAATTGTGCGAAGTAACATATTTTATTCACTTATTTGTGTATTATGCATGCCAGATTTGTTTCTCTTATAGTTGTGTTTGACTGTTAGTGATGAATGAGTTGATTGTATCGAGATGTATTTCAAAGTTGATGTGTTGGAATACCAATTATTGCAATAATCCATATTCTGATATTAGTTCATCTATGCTTTTAGGATGGGTCATTATTAACATAAGATCTACTTTACCTTTTTGTAAAACCTCAAGCTTATACAACTACTTTACTTGTGGTGGCTACATTTCTCTGTCTTCTTGGACGTTTCCTCTTAAAAGTTAACATTTTGTTCTGCAGGACTGTTTCAATTGGTTCACAAATTAATTCTAGTGACGGCAGTTCAATATGCATTCTACAAATATCATGGCATCCTTACAGTGACACCCATGTTGGAATTCTCTCTTCTGATTCAGTTTTCAGGTATAGAATATTCATGCCATAATGTACAGGTTGTATTAAGTGATCACAGTCTGGAGGCTTGTTGATGGGTCATAATTATATTACTTGCTCTGACTCTGAGGTTATGCCTTGGTTTAGGAGAGGGAGAGGTGAATGATTGCAATATAACTTGTAAAAAAATAGAGGATAAATTTATTTTTACAAAATTGAGGCTTATTTAATTATGAAAAGGTTTAATTGCTGCTATCAATGTCCATGTATATTTATTTATGTGTGATTCATTTCTTTCAGTCTCCTGAAGATTTCAATTCCACTTCAGTTTTGTCTCTCTTAATGGACAGTGTATGAGTTGGCAGATATGGCATGTGAAGTTTGTTTTATAACTTGTTACACCTATGGCATTCTTTCATTGATCACACTCTTCGAAGTTTTGCAAGTCAATTTTGTTTGAAGTAATCCTTTTAAAAAAATTTTATAAATGGTACATTGTGTTTGATTGAAGCATGTATTAACTTATTATTTTTTACTTTTCTGCAGACTATTTGATTTATCCTCTTATGTTATGCAACCAGAACAAGAGTATTATCTGCAGCCTGTTGAACCTGGTAGATGCAGGAATGCTGCATCAATCTGTCCTGTTGACTTTTCATTCGGGGGGGACCACCTGTGGGACAGATTTAGTGTAAGTTCAATGTATTTCTAGAATCTTAGTATATTTCAATAGTAACAGTATATTTCACGGTTTAAACGTGGCTATCTATTGCTTCAGTGTGTCTTGCTTCACTCTGCTTAATGAAATTGTTGTCATCTGTTCCTCTTTTGATTTTCAAATTTATCCTTTCCTATGATATTATTATGATACAACTTCCATCTTTTTTCCTATTGCTAAGCTTGTTATATTTTGGAATTAATTAATATTCACATATTGTGTCAAATCTTCAAGTTACCTTTTATGCCATTTTCAGGTCTTTGTATTATTCAGTGATGGATCAGTTTACATCCTTTGCCCACTTGTTCCGTTTGGAAGGTATTTGGGATTTTAAATTTTCTTTTTTTTCTGGGGGGGGGGGGGGGGGGAGGGTATAATTAATTTTAACTTTTTTGCTATTTTCTCTTTTCTTTTTCATTCTTTAATTTTAAACAATATTTGCAACAAATGTGCTTATAAAGCTCATTTGAACTATGTAGGTACTAGTGTTACTGTTTGCACTCCTGCCATATTCTACTTAGCTTTTAAGAAAATCAAGATACTTGAAAATTAAGGTTATGAGGATAAATTTTTCGTATTGCCATGTGAGCCACATGCGTCAGGTCATGTAGCCATATGGTTTGATCATTTCCTTGTGCTCATTATTTACTTGTAAAGAGTAAAGACTGCTGCTTATTTCTACCCTATATTCTTTGTGGCCTAGAAATTTGACTTGTGCCTTCTCGTTTGTCTTGCTATTATCATTAACGTGCCACTGCTTAGAGAGTTGCATATTCCTTTGCTACCATTTTTCTGATATATTTATTTTTGATACCTGGATCATTTATTTGGAAACAGTGTTTATAAATGGGAGTCAATATTGGAGATTTATAGTGATGCTCATACTTTTGGACTGAAGTCAGCCAATTCAGCAGCTATTAGTAATTCTAATCTGGCAATCTCTTGGTTGGAAGCAACTTTTCCTGAGCTAGCTCAACAAGCAACAGATGGGGAAAATCCATTTACCATAAGAGCTCAGTCACATGCTTTCTTTGATGCATCAGTTGCTCTGCAGGTATGTGAAATAAGTGGATTGTAGCCTATCTGTGGAATGCATTTG